GATTTGACCGTTCACCAAGTAATAGAAGGTTGATGGGGTGAGCGAGGAAGAAGGCGAACAAAGAAGAGTTGGAAAACGTCGTTGGTAACGAAGGGCAGCCAATAGAATCTAATAAAAACGTCGCTGCACGGGGCCACTCGAAAAGCCTAAATGAAATTTTCTATAGTCATTTTTTGCTGTTCCCCTTTTTTAGCTTCGGGATAAGAAGGAAAGGAGAAAAACCTTTTGGGGTTGATGTAATGTCTGCTGCGGTCGGTAACTTTGCATATTTTCTGATATCTTCTGAGCTTTCAACGTTCCAATTACTGGTTCGTTGTTCTCACACGTACGCGTTAAATGTATACTTCGATCGATGTATCATTGTGTAATCGACGATCAGTCACTCCTACCGGTGTATAGGAATTTTCATTAAGAAAATTAAAGAAAAATTTATCACTTTGTTCGAACATCGAGTTTTAAATTGTTACAAGTACTAATTTACGATAATTTTATATCAACAAATCGCGTTAGAATTATTAGATAGTTTACGAAGAAAAAATTCATTACATTTGCGTGTTCGGATTTAGTAGGAATTTTCATCCGTGTTCCGCATACGATCACTATAATCAAGCGGCGCTAGGAAAATTTATTATTCGATGTAAATATTCAACAGCGGTTTATATGCTCGTTTTTAGCTTACCAGCGAGCGCAAAGGATAATTTTCGTCACCTGTTTCCACAGTCGTTTCAACAGCTAATACATTTTGCCGCTTTTAATCCGTGTAATGGTATCGGGGGTGAGAAGAGGAGTGGTAGGAATAACATTAAACCGTTGTTTTTTTACCTTATGCATGTTCGCATCTGTTCTGATGGCGATGGATAAAAGCGTATCATTTAGAGAGTATTATAATTCTTATCAATATTATTGATCGTACACGAGAACAAGGTAACGCTTGTAGGGCAAGGTTCTTAAGCGAGGTGAATATTTTAGGGAACTGTTTAAAAATATAGCGCTTATGAAAAGTTAATTGCTGCTTCGGGGCATGTACGTAGATCCTGAAAGAACAGCAAGATTAAACGTAACTCGATTTAGGAAAGAAAAAAGAGGGTTATGGTAACGCGACACAAAATTTTCACGTGTACTCCGTTGTTGTGTTCGATGCACGTGCTATTCAGCTAGTACGCTCCATTATTGCATAAAGCTTCGAGTGTATATACACGCAACCAATATCCTTCCATAGCTGGAGGAAACTCGATTTGTCTCCCCGGATTTCCACTATTCCAAAAGAGCTGCTACCCTCAGGTATTATCGGTTGCGCGGTGCTTCCCTTCGTTATGCGACGATCCGTTCCTCGTTTCACCCTGCAACGTTGTTTTCTATTCACCATCAGACAGAGTTTGCCAAGTTAATCGTCTACCGATCCAGCAATCGATTTCTTTCAAACAGCCGATAACTGACTATGTAACGATATCGACTACGAACTTGTAAATTTGCATACTTTTTTGGCTCGATTTTTTACTTCAACACTTTGATAATCAATATCGTGACTTTTTTAATTTCACTTTGAAATATTTGAAAGCATTTTGAAAAAAGCACGAGTACAAAAACAGCATATTTCACGTTTGAAGGACCGACTGTGCAAACCGTAGAATTTTTCAATGCCAGAATGTCAAAATTTCATACAAAAAGCCGTGTGAAAGTATATTGGGTTTAAACATTTCCATCGTTACAGTGAAAGATGGCTGTGCACTGTACGTTAACGAAGTAACTGTGTTCTATTGTTCTATTTGCTATTATCAATGTGATTGACTACCTCCATTGCACGGCACATTATTCGTTCGAGATAGCGATGTCTGATGCTAAAAGTTTGTTTAATGGAGCGTTGTTAATAGCTGCCATTAATGGGAGCAGAGGTCAATTCACGATATTGATCAGTGCATTGGCATCTAACGGAGAGGAATGGGGTGTAGTTAAGAATCGTAGGATTTATGACCTCGTCGAGAGTAACTTCATTTCATTCTTCGTTTCAGCACTGATCGATAATCGTTACTAATACGCGTTCGAATTCGAATAAAAAAATTTAACAACTTTACCAATTTATGTTAATATCTTTTAAAAGGTGGTTATTTTCAGGCATAATTGTGCTCGGTTTAGACCGAATTCGTGTTCCCGTGAGCGTGCGTTCCGCTTATCAGTTTAAATTCCAATCACCTAACGACCTAACCCACTATATCGTTGACGCAAGGTGCACGCGTATATTATAGATATTCATAATCAATAGCGTTGATGTTAATAGCTCGCTTGTCATCAACGAATTCGTTGCGCATTTATTCGAGTGGCTCGCACTCGACGTGCTCGACGCGGTCCATGTCTCTCTCTCTATTTGATTGACAAACGATAGCCGCTTGAAAATTCGGTGCACGGTACGTTCTTTTGGCCCATTTCATAGAACTCGTGGCGTGGAAACTTTTCGTAAATCCCTGGGAACGCGTTCCTTTTACCATTCGATTTCCTCTGAAAGCCTCGAAAAGCCGGTATTTGTCGAAAGTAACGTTCCTCGAGACGGAAAGCTTTCGCGTCTCGTCGCTTTTCCTACTTGTCGTCTAACGTTTACACAAATTTGATACGATCGCTGTAAAATCGACGGTTTCTCGGGGTTGTTGAAACAGTTTCACCGTAGGAAATATCTCGAAACGGAGAAAGAATAAAGCCGTTTATTAGTCGGGCTTAAAATAAACGCGAAGCAGAATGCCCCGTTTATTGATTTCGGCCCTGAATAGAACTGAAATATCGCATCAACGTTGTTACTTCTGCAATTGTGATCTTTTTTAGCCTGCTCGAAACACGATTACGCATATAATAGACATCGATACTATTCTTTCTAAATATACGGTTACTATTTTTAAAATTTTCTTGAAATACGTAAATTTAATTTGGTCGTCGATACTCGGAATAAATGAATTTGTTACAGTCCACGTAATGACCACGTTTTTAACAATAGTTTTTGTTATAGCGATCAAACTGTAAATAACGCATGAAATGTTCGCGGTAAATACCAAGATTTAATTCTGCGAGGTATTCATTTGTTCTTAGCCACGTTAATCATAGGTGTCCAATTCTATTAAAAGAAAAAAGAGACGGGATCGAAACACGTTCCAACGGTGCTCGCTGTTATTCTACGCAGGAAGTGCTCTTTTTGCAAACTCGGTGTGCCTTGATTTACGATTCTCCCAGGCGGAATGCTGGTCGCTGACGGTTCGCAGTTAAAGTGATATAATATCGGTCAGAAACTTGCGATATTGTTTTTTGTACACCATGCCAGTTCGAACGATGCGCTTTCGATTTTTTATAACCGTGACACCGTCATCGCGGTACGGTATCGAACATGATGGTTTCTGTAGGAAAAATTATGGTGCCTGCTAAATAGATACGGTGCATTTCTGTTTTATTGCCACGAACAGAGGCGTAGGAGCGAAAAATATAACGTTCGACTACGTATAATTCGTAGTGCCGTATGTGGTGATTTGACGCGTGGCGATACAACAGGTGGTGATTTGACTCGAGGCTATACAACGCGGTGGTGTAAGATGCGGAGATCTAATTCTTGAATGTAGAACGCGCGACAAGCTCGTCGCGTAACGAGTTTTTCAATCAAAAGGTCTTGATATCTTCTGGTAGAAGGGCAGAGGGTAAGAGGAGAGTCTGAAAGCACAGAACGAAGGAATGCACTTATTGTTGGAAGGGCCGGAGGGAAATTAATAAAGAAAGCGTGAAAATGAAAGAGCAAAGTTGGTCGCGTGAGAAAGCTCGTCCAATAAGTTCCGCGATTTTATCGCTCGCGGCAACAAGAAATCCGAGTCGAGGTAAAGTTTGAAAATTAAGAAAGATAGCTATTAGGTGATAAGAAAGTGTGCGAGTTTGCTGCAACAAAATACAAGTGAATCAGTTGACATTTTAAAGAGCGTGGTTTTATTGAACAACACTGTTTAGTTTTCCAACGAAGTATCATTAAGAAATGTGGACACTTTGTTGGATAAACTTTATACTCCTTTCAGGGGTCTTCTCGTCGAGCACGCACGCTGTGCATATATAACCTATCTCACCACGTACGTCATGTTCCACTGTGATAGTTAATATGGTTTACGTAGATATACGTACATGTATAATAGTTTCCTAGATAAGCTTGGTAGGCAGAGGGTAAGTGGAACAAGGGGATGAATGTGGATCTGTTATTCTATGTGTAATAGAATAATACCCCGCGTACGTGTTCTAACTTAACATTCCATGTATAATAGAATAACACCGTAGTGGAGATAGCGATAATGGTGGCAGTAGTACCAATAGCATTAATAATCACAGAAATTAGTCATGCAACGAACCTTTAGTTACTACGAAGTTACAAAATGGTAATTCGGTTACCCTGACCTATTCTCTTGTTTTTGTCAGAAAATCCGAATTCGGTGAAATTGATTTTTTAAAAATACTTTTGCTAATTTTAGCATTTTTAAAAATGCTCTGGTAGTTTTAAGAGCTTATCGCGCAATCAGTCGTTGAGGCAGAAACCTTGTACACTCAGGTGTAACATGGATATAGACGCATACGTACACTTGGGAATTCTTAAATTCCCAATGCTATTTCAAATGCCAAAATGCTTAAATTTGTGGATTCTCAAATTCCCCTAGCTGTAGATCGTCAAACCCAAAAACCTTGAAATCTCAGGAATTCTTCAACCGCCGTAAAAGAACCCGGACATTAAAAATGGAGTGCTTGACCAGTGGTCACATGGTTTCTCTTTGGGTGGCAAATTTGCCATTGACTGTACCCTCAATCTCCGGAGGAAGTTTTCAGCTCGTCGGACGAGTAGTGGCGCGTTAACGAATCGATCCGTTTGCACGATTCGAAGCCGGTTAGAGATAAAAGTAAGGGTTTCCGGTAGAAGCGAATTATTCGTGGCGAGTTCCTGTACGTCCGGCGTTTTCCTCGTGAAAAGATAACGAGAGATAGGTTGGTTGTGTTCGCAGCGACGCAAGGAACGAGGTAGAATCGCGGTCGAGAGCGTCCACGTGGTTGAAACGGCGAGCCTCGGGAGCAACGCCGGCGGCGTCGGCGGCGTCGGCAGCGTCGCCAGCGACGTGGCAGGCAGCGAAGCAGGAACAGGCGGCGGCGGTGGAGGCGG